CTCTCAAACCAACGTTCCTCTCTATCAATGAGAACATCCTCATCTCTGAAAGAGTGACCGCTGGCCTCTAAATGCTATACAATTTTTTTTCTTTTTGATTTTTTACCTGGATTACTGAGATGCATCAGGACATTACTCAAATAAAGTACAGATACCCAAAAATTCTACTCAAGTACAGTAACAAAGTATTTGTACTTAGTTACTTTACAACTCTGGAAATGGGTGATCTAATTAAGCCCAACACTGCTCTAAGTTACAAACATTGTAATAGAATGTACAAAATTTCATTTTAAAGGAAATTAAAGGAATTAAAAGAAGTTTTTAACGTAATATTTGGGAAAGGGCAAATATGTCGATAATGGTGCACTGATTATAACCAGTTGCCAGAATGAGAGCCACAGTTAGAATGCAATAATATAATGAGGTAATTGAAATTGGATCATATAGTTTCTCCTTACGAAGACCTGATTTTCCCTGGGAAATAAAAACAAAAGACACTGCACTGAAATGTCTTTTGGCTGTCATTAAAAGTGTGTAAGTCCTGACCTTATTATTTAGTTTTTAAGAGAAAGATAACACCTAACCTTTAGATAAAGACACATTCTTTTGGTTTTGTATATATTTTTACGTGACATAGTTACCTGCTGGGAGTCCCTAAACTCACCTGAGGCCGGGGTTTGGTTGAGTTACACGACACCGGCGTCTTTGTCCTGCCCTCACAGGCACACATTTGCTCTATGCACACGAGCGAATGTGCTTCATTCTGTGTTGTTGGCTTTGAACTCCAAGAACACACATCGCCTCTGGTCTGTGCTTTGAGTGGCTTTGTTGGAGGCTGGGTGTAGTGGTTTGCATCAAAGCTGGCTCTCCTTTCTTTTTCCTGTCCCTTTGTTTCTCTATTCAGCTCTCTCGTCTCTGCCCAGTGAAACCGAAAAAGCTGAAATGCATACGTGAGGTGCATATCACTGGTCCTACCTGTGCGTTTCTTTTATGATGCACGTGATTAAGGTATTAAGCTTAAGTTTTTTTGGTTCATTATTCTAATTTGGAGACGTGTACTGGAGCTGAAACGAGAGGTGCACCCACAGAAAGCATACGTGACAGAAATAACAGCGATTAATCAAAAATAATAATCGACGGATTAGTTCACTATCAAAATAATCATAATATTATCTTAAAGTGGTCTCCAAGCAATATTGTGATCATTTCTGAGACAATTTATCATCTGTCAAAATTGTATTCTCAAATATAAACATTAAAAGGCACAGTGTGTAGGATTTGTTGTTTTCAGCGACATCTAGTGGTAGGCCTGTCACGATAACAAATTTTGCTGGGCGATTAATTGTCTCAAAATTTATTGCGATAAACGATAATATTGCCTGGTGACCGTTTTACAACTAATAATTATAAAAGCGTAATGTGTAAGTGTAATAAATCAATAAATTTTCATTTTTAAAAGAATGTTTAACAAAGTGGACTCTCAGTCTCTAACAAAAAAATGCACTTGAATAAAAAAAATAAAACAAAGAACAACAAAATGTAAATTAAACACCACACACAACTAAGACAGTAAATAAACAATATTAAAGAGCAGCTACAGGTAAAGTCTTGACGAGTTTGTCACGGGTCTGTGGGAGTTTCAGCCCCCACCCCTTCTCCTCCTTCTCTCTCTCTGTCTCTCTCTCTCTCTCTCTGTCTCTGTCTCTCTCTCTGTCTCTCTCTCTCTCTCTCTGTCTCTGTCTCTCTCTCTGTCTCTCTCTGTCTCTGTCTCTGTCTCTGTCTCTCTCTCTGTCATCTCTCTCTCTCTCTCTGTCTCTGTCTCTCTCTCTGTCTCTCTCTCTCTGTCTCTCTGTCTCTGTC